ACATGTTTTGCATTCTCTCATAGAACACAAAAGATAAATTCACTTTGGGGCAATAAAACTAGCTGAGCAGTGGTAATTCCCTGATATTTATGTAAAGCGTCAAGGGCAAATTTGTACTGATTAAAGCTGAATAAACTGGTGATCAAAATTCAAAATAGAGATTCAAACTATGACTAAAAGCTCACATTTTTGTCACATTAAAAACTAAGTATAAATGAATGAAAGGAACCAGTTGAGAGCAGATCCGAGGTCAAATTATCAATCCCAGAGCTCAAACCCAGACTATAAATAAAATATTATTGTTATTATTGATATTTTGAACCAGAGCGAGATTCTAAGAACACCTTTGTACATAAGATTTGAAGCATCACAATCTTCAGCTAGAACTAGAGTTTATTTGGACGACAAAATCAAGACATTTTATTTGATGAAAACAACTCAAAATCAGCACTGCGGCTGAAGTTGCTGTTTAAAGCTGGGGTATCTAACGTCCTTTACTGGTAAGAAAGAGTCACTAGTTGACGCTTTGGGCTGAGAGCTGATTGGTTGAGCGCGGGTGGTCTTCTCTTTTTCACTTTTCTGTCTGAAAAAACTGATCTAAAGAAAATATGTGACAGGACATACATAACATGTAATGACTAGTGAGTTTGAAGGTTAGGGTCCCCAGCTTTAGCACTAGGACTCCCAGAATTCGGAAACTACTAGAACTCCAATTCAATCCAATGGAATTCTGAGAAATTCCGCCAAGAATGTCTTTTTCACAAGATTCATTAAGCATATTTTAGGGGTTTACCTTTACTTGCTTTTAATAAGTGCCAAAACTGGTGATCATAACTGCAACTGAAATACAGCCCAAAAAAGGCTAATGCTTCTGACAGTAAACAGCACGTTGCTATGGTAACATGGCTTGATATTCTCTGGTGGAAAACTCATATTTCAAAAGATAATCTCATTACAAAAAATATGTAAAACTAAATAAATATATGAATAATGTAAAGATTCAGACAAAGTCACAAACGTTATGAAGTTATGTCAAGAGCTGAGTAAATAAACATCCAAAACCAAAAGCCGTCAATTTGACTGCTCTAACCAGCTTTATGGGATGTGCGGACAAATACACGTTCTGGTATGAAATGCCTCTTTCTTCAGCTGAAGCGTGTGATTGATTCAGATCTGACTCAGAAATGACTGGATTTGATCAGAGAGAAAAGTTTTGTGGAATTCAGAGACCAGACACAAATTTGTCGTCAATAGGAACAAAAGATTAATATTTATTGTTTCATAAACGCAGCCGCTATCAACTCTAGTCCTGTCCTGGTTTAGGCCTGGTTCAGTCCTTGTTTAGTTCTTTTTTAGTCCTGGTCTAGTCCTGGTCTAGTCCTGGTCTAGTCCTGGTCTAGCCCTTGTTTAGTCCTTGTTTAGTCCTTGTCTAGTCCTTGTCTAGTCCTTGTTTGGTCCTGGTTCAGTCCTGGTTTAGTCCTGGTTTAGTCCTGGTATTGTCCTGGTTTAGTCCCTCCTCTTGTCATTACCACGACCAGTAAGATTTTGCTGGAGGAGAACATTTAAACCAGTGACGACGTTTTTGAATTAATTTCAAGTTGTGCAAAATAATTGAATATGGAACACATGTTTAATAAAGATTGTTAAATATTTACATAAAATTATCCCTGAATAATAACATGTATGACAGCACGCCCCCAATTTGAGACATTTTCCCAATTTTCCAGGACCCCAACCTCATACACGACACATTTTGCAACATTCTCGTTCCCTTTATCAAGCCCTGCAAAGGTTTATTAGTGCAGAAAATCATTATAATCCTAACAGAGACATTCCATGTCGTCATGCAGCTGTTGTCAGAAACTCCAGGATTTGTAAGAAAGACAAATTCCAAACACTGCTGAATCAAACATGACGCACACAGACATAAAAAGGATTATGGGATTTCAAATTAGTCACATTCATTTACAAGACTTCTAAATAAATCAACAAGCCAGAACGCAGGTCTGGTTTGATCACTGTCTACGTTACGGCTATATTTGGTCGAACCCTCTGCAAAACACTATTTCGTAAGGCGGGATAAATGGTGAGTTGTTTTGACACACCAGCCCATGTCTCTTTCTATTCTATGTCAAAATTCCGGTATTTTTTCTCAGTAGGAAATATACTTACAACGCAAGTGTCTCAATATTATTTATCGAGCACAATTGAAACCTCAATGTCCAAAACAACTTCTGTGTTCAGTGTTTTTAATGCCTTGTGTGATTTTAAGGTTTCTTTTCTTGTTTTGTTAAGCATTTTCCTTGTGTATGAACTGTGCAATACAAATAAACTTGCCATGCCTTGGTTCTTGTTAATGAATCAACCATCCTATATTTAGTATGGCAAAGCAATGGAACATATAGTCAATTAAATCAATATAATTGTCACAGAATTACATTTGAGTTCAAGTTGTGTCGACTCAACTTGACCACTTTTATAAAATTCACATTGGTTACAAAAACACACACAAAACAACCTGAGAAAAAAAATCAGATTATCTTTCAACTTTCTACAACACCTGAGTAGGTTCACCCAAATTGTGTCTAGACTGAGCATAAACACATTCATAAATATGATAACAAAAACAGCAATTCCATTTACTGGTCCATATACAACTTTGAGTGAATAAATGACCGAAGTGAAGCGCTACGATCAAAAGTTGTGAAAAGTGTTTGCACGTAATTTCCTCTTTAAAACGGCCTTCACAATCAGCCCTGTCTGACGCTGACCTTCCCCCTGCTGTGTCTGTGGCCTCGGCTGCTGCTGGCGTCTGCAGAGCCCATAACGCAAACATGTGAATGCAGCCTGGAGCTAATGCTACGCTAACCCGATCCGTCTCCTCTCACCTCTGTGGGGTCAAAGCTCACACCGAGGGCAGGAGGCTGAGGCTGATTCACGGGGAATCAGCTCTCGCCCCCAGCCACAACCAACAATATTTATACAATATTTACACGCCTTTGGACTCACCTTATTTCCACAGAGACACGCAGGCCAAGGTCCGGGTGAGATCTGTGGAGAGGCGAGCCCACCCTTTTCTGTTTTTTCCATTCTCCATTTCTCTGTTCTGAAGGCGTCTGAAACATTTCAGCTGGCTCCTCTCTTTGTGGAGGAGCAGCGGCTGTACTCTGAGCTCTAGGTAAATGGGCCTTTAGAAAGATAGACCCTTCTTGACCTTCGAGAGAATTCAGATACATAGGACACAAACATTAAAGAAACATTGAACAGAACATAAACAGTACAGTACAAGATCGTGGAGTCACTTTTTGGAAATGGCATTATTCATTCGTGCATGATGGTGACTACTCCTACTACTACTATTACTACTACTACTACTACAGTTACAGGATCCCAGGAGCAGCCACCAATCATCCACACACACATCTTGCCTAAGGACACAACAGCAGTTTGACACATGACAGCAGCCCCACTGTGGCACCTGGTGTTCCCAGAGGTCTCCCATCAGGGTACTAACCAGGCCCTGCCCTGCTTAGCATCAGAGGTCTGACAGGAAGAGGCTTTGATAAACAGGTATAGGTGTGGATCTCTGAGCACTGTTTGACCCTGGTCATAGCAGTATATGTATATAATTAAATCTTACCAAGTCGGAGTAAGGACAAAAGGACATGTGTTTTATATTGTGTTAGTGTAATAGGCAAGTTTATTTGTATTGCACAGTCCATACAAGAAGACAAGATAAAAATAATCTAGGAATTAAAAAAAGATAAATCACAGTACATTAGAGATAGTGGAGACAGTTCTTCAGTTGTACGCACAGCTAAACAAAACTGTTTAACATGGATTTGAACATTGTCAGAGTAGAAGCCAGTCTCACATTATTAAAAGACTGTTCAAGATTTTAGCGGCACAAAATCTGTGGCTTTTAAAATGAGGAACAAATAAAACATTTAACACAATATAACGCATATATTATTCAAATATATCATTTTACATAACACATTTCTTCAGCCAACTTTGAAAAACACAGCCCAATAGTGATGTTTATATTTATGTAATAATAATGTATTTCAGAACATTCTTTTCCGTGCTAAAGTTAATCTTAGTGTATGTTTGTTGCATCTCCGCTGATTTTTCTCTGATTTCGTAATCCTCGTCTTCTCCGGAGGCGCTAACGACACAAGAGCTTTGCGATGCTAGCTCTCTGAAAAATTTCCAAACAATTTAAGATTAAAGGCAGCGTCATTAGCCAAACCGCTCCGCTGTGTGACAATCCACAGACCCCCAACTCCCAAGAAATCTGGAACCACTCAGCTCCAAGACGCGGCGAAAAAAAACCCAAGCCTTTCTTCTGGCTTTATTGGCCTATAGCTCGTCTTACCCCACTCCCGCCCCCAAAATCACTCACTTCCTGCTTTTACCGCCTCTCTTGCTCCGTTCTGGCCAATCGGGTCGCGGCTCGAACCCTCGCGCGTATAAAGCAGAGCCTTTCGACGGACTTGTCACACAATTTGTTGACGCTGGAGTTGCCAACTTGAAGACATCTGAAGAAATCTTGTGGAAGTTGGAAGAAGTCCTTGGAAATCGAATGAGATTTTGGGGAATCTGCGAGATGGATTTGTCGAAAGTTTAATCCCTGCAACAACATCATATCCATGCGAGCTTGAGATTGCTTGAACTCAGGTTATTATTCCGTATTTCGCCGTTTTTGACAAGATTTCTTTGCTCATGCGACGTTGAATATTTCTGACTGGTTACGGGAAACTTCAGCTTGTTTTGCGATTGACATTTCTCGCACCACATCGGCGAAAAGTTTTACAGAAGTTATGTGTTGACAAGTTGAATTAAGTTCAAAGTCAAAGTTCCTCAAGCAAATAGAGCTAAACGAGTCAAAAACACCACAGAATTTCAGAGCAGAATCCTGAATTTCAGCCATTTTAAGTCACTTCGAAACACGAATTTGCAGTGGAGCGAATTTTGTGGACTTTTTTGTTTTTGGCTAAATGAGAGAGGAGGTTTCGTGCACCAAGTCCCCGGAGGGAGGCATGGGCGCGGGGGAAGAGGAGCTGGACCGCGGGTGCAAGAAGCAGCAAGGCGGTCGTAAACGTTCCCCAAACCCAAAGAAAGAAGCCGCGGAGGAGAGGAACCACTCGCCCACCCCCATGCCCAATAAACGAACCAAGAAGAGCCCACCGTGTTCCGTGACCCTGAGCCCCGGGATCACGGCTCTGTCTACGCGCCCAGGTGAGAGGGGAGACCGAGGGGGGGAGCGACCTATGGGGGAGACCAGAGGGAAGGCTCTGGTTCAAATATACCATAAAATATATAGAAAGGAAGGTTCGCTATGGTTCAAATATACCAGAAAAACACATCGCTGCTGTCTGCTTTTACAGATTTGAGTCCGATTTGCCAACAGAACCAGAGCAAGAAAAATATGTAGTTCTAATTGTTGTTAATTTGTATCAGAAAAAAACATTATCTAGCAAGGTTTAGCTCTGGTTGAAAAATACAAGAACAATTTAAGCTAGGTTTAGCTCTGGTTCAAAACTACCGGAGAAATGTAAGCTAGGTAAGGTTAGCTCTGGTTCCAAAATACCACCAAATAGCTTTGTATTGGCCAACTACATTTGTGGTAAATCATTTTGTCCTCTAGCACAATGTTTGAGCGTAAGATTGTCAGAAACACCTTTGAGTGCGACAACAATTTGGACCCTTAAAATGGTCAGAAACATCCACATGATTTACCACAAATTTGTTGTTTTATATCAAGCTAAACATCAAACCTAAATGAGCAAAGAGAAGGTTAACGATATCTGCTTCACGAACATCAGAAAAATATAATATTATTGTCTGCTTTTGTAGATTTGAGTCAGATTTGCTAACAGAACCAGAGCAAGAGCCAAATGTCGTTTGAATTCTTTTTATTTTATATAAATACTCTGGGTTTGGATTAAAGGCCCAGATTTGACCTTCTATCAAAACACTGCAAGCTAAGATTTATTAAGATTAAGATTACGAGATCCTTTATTCGTCCCACAGTGAGGAAATTTCAGTGTTGCATCACCAGTTACAGAGAGTAGGAATGAGGAACACGCAACACAAGATAAGTGAACAATAACTCAAATAAAATAGAATAAATACTCAAAAATTGTTTCCATACGTATATATTTTTGCTCTTTTTCATTCATATTCTTGCAAGCTTGATTCTTGTAATTTAAATTTAGAGGAATGTGATTGATTTAAAGAAATAAAATCATAATAAATGTGTTTGAAACAGGGACATGTGTGTGTGACGTAACCAGTGACGAGAGTAGTTCACAACAAAAGTAACGAATCGCCATAGTAACCTCTTTGTTTGAAGTAACCTGTCAGCGTATAAGTCACAACGTCACTATATTTAATTATGTCGCACTGATTTTGATGATTTTGTGGCTAAAACATGAAGCACCATCTGCCCATTACAATACAATGTTAACCATTCTTTAAATATTACTTCTATAGTACTAATAACAGGTTTTTTGGGCAGTATATGGCTGAAGTCAATAACAATATCGTTACGTTTAATAATGTATCAATGTATTTTTGTATAGCCCTAAATCACAATAGCAGCCGTTTCAGAAGGCTTTACAAAGTTGTTGATTCACCAACATCAGATCAGAGAATCAAGCAGTTCAAAAACAGGAAATACAATAACTAACCCATATTGTCCTTAAATGTCCTGGATCCTTACTGTCCTTAAAGCCTCAAGCATCGACAAGGAACGTCTCAACCCAGTGGGGAAAAACTGAGAAATCCTGGAGAGGCCTGACTGAGAGAGGGCACCGAGGCTGTAGATCCAGGAGTCAGGCTGTAGAACGAGGACTGCGGCTGTACATCTAGGACTGAGGCTGTAGATCCAGGTTTAAGGCTGTAGATCCAGGACTCAGGCTTTGGAACGAGGACTGAGGCTGTAGATCCAAGACTGAGGCTGTAGATCCAGGACTCAGGCTTTGGAACGAGGACTGAGGCTGTAGATCCAAGACTGAGGCTGTAGATCCAGGACTCAGGCTTTGGAACGAGGACTGAGGCTGTAGATCCAAGACTGAGGCTGTAGATCCAGGACTCAGGCTTTGGAACGAGGACTGAGGCTGTAGATCCAAGACTGAGGCTGTAGATCCAGGACTCAGGCTTTGGAACGAGGACTGAGGCTGTAGATCCAGGACTGAGGCTGTAGATCCAGGACTGAGGCTGTAGATCCAGGACTGAGGCTGTAGATCCAGGACTGAGGCTGTAGATCCAGGACTGAGGCTGTAGATCCAGGACTTAGGCTGTAGATCCAGGACTGAGGGTTAAATTAAACTCTGTCCTGGTTTTTCGTCAAATGTGTTGTAAATATAGTATTGATCTGTTGTTGACAACTTTGTAAAGTCCTCCGAGACCACTGCTGTTGTGATTTAGGGCTGTGCAAAAATTGCATGAAATACTGTGTTTCCACATCTCAGCAGATAATCCATATTTTTTCAAATACTACAAAAACCCTTTATGTAACATGATCTGCTCGTTGTTCTATTCATGAGCTGCTCTGCGCGTAAACAAAATCAGTATGGAATGTATGAAAAATGTTTAAAATCGTTTGACAGTTTTGTACAGCTGATCTAGCTATGTGGCAGAGGCCAAGAATAGAGAGGAAGAATAGAAACTAACTATTTTGAGAGCAAAGGACGACGGGAGAAACTCGGAAAATTAGAAACACGTTCAAAATATTTATTTATTTCTTTACCTCTGTAATTAAACAATGTAAAACTAAAAATATATGACTGACACGTTACAGGGAAAGTGAAATATATCAAGCTTCTATTTGTTATAATGTTGATAATGTGCTCACAGCTGTAAAACACAAAATAAAATTATAATATTTTGAGAATGTAAAATGGTTTGGCAGATGTCACTTTGCTTGTAATGAGTTTATGATGAATTGGTTTCACATTTTTAATAAATAAAGAAATAAATGTACTCTAACATTCACCTGTAAAAGGAAAATACAAAAAATATATAAACAGATTGAAGCACAACATGCTTCATCAGAAAACTTGTAACTTTTGTTTAAGAAAGATCTCTGTGAGTCACTATTTGCGACGCTTTGAGCTGATTGGCTGAGTGAGGGTGGTCCTCTCATTTTCATTTTTCTGTCTGAAAAACCTGATCAAAAGACGTGACAGAGGCCAGAAACAAATGTATGTGAAAAGTAGTGATAGAACCAGAGCGTGGAAATAGTCAGATTTTTTATTATTTAGATTGTTTGAAAGTTAAACTAAAACATTTCTAAGTGAGATCAAATGAATCGATTTGAGAATATATTTGCATAATTTGACTGTCAGATTAGTCAAGTTCTATATTAACCCATCTTCGTTAAAGCCACAGTAACATTTTAACCAGAAAATAGACAATATTACAGATATTGCAATATTTTTTTTATATATATATGTCACATAAAGATACAGAATAATATCACAGAATCATGTTATTTCCATATTTTTCATGGCACAAAACACATGTCGTTAAACCCTCTCATGCCGTGTGTTTCCATGGAAAATGTGCAAAGAACTATAGATGGATCCGGCCTCCTGCTGGTGCCCAGAGTTAGGACTAAAACTGGGGAGGCAGGATTTCAGATTTATGCGGCTAAAATCTGGAGCAGTCTTCCAGAAAATGTGAGACAGGCTTCTACTCTGACAATGTTCAAATCCAGGTTCAAAACAGTTGTGTTTCTCTGTGCATACAACTGAAGGATTGTATCTTCACTCTTTTTAATGTACTGTGATTAATTATGATTTGAAGGCCTTGTGTAACTGTTTTTATCTGGTTTTGTTCAGCACTTCGAGTTGCCTTGTGTATAAACTGTGCTATACTAAATATCACAACAACCCTAAATCACATAACTGTAGTGATCTCGGAAGACTTTACAAAACCTTAGATTCATCCGCACAGATCAGAGAATCAAACAGTTCAAACACAAGAAATTCAATGATAAAAACCACATAGAGTCATTGATCCATTAGGGGCGGACGACCAATGTCCATAGAGGCCATAAATGTTATCGTTGTGGTTTGAAAGCTACGCACATTAACCTGAAATCCCCCTCCTCTCTGTGTCCGTCAGGAGTGGAGAGCTTCGAGGACCTGCACTCCCAGCGCGTCATCGCCAACGTGCGCGAACGCCAGCGCACGCAAAGCCTCAACGACGCCTTCGCCTCTCTGCGGAAGATCATCCCCACGCTGCCCTCCGACAAGCTCAGCAAGATCCAGATCCTCAAGCTGGCCTCGCGCTACATCGACTTCCTCTACCAGGTCCTGCAGAGCGACGAGATGGACGCCAAGCTCGCCTCCTGCAACTACCTGGCGCACGAGAGGCTCAGCTACGCCTTCTCCGTGTGGAGGATGGAGGGCGCCTGGGCCATGTCCGCCAGCCACTGAAGCAGAGACTGAACTACCACTATGAGCACTTCTATCTAAGCTTCCCCCCCCCTTTTGCCTGCTTCTAATGCGTCTAAACTCAATCCTATTCTGTTTGCGAACCAGAAATATCACAGTTTTTTTTCTTCATTTCTGGTCTTGAAAGATGGCCGCTTCAATTCGATTCAATTTGTTTTTTATATAGGTCTAAATTACAACAGGAGTTATCTCGGAAGGACTTTGCAAAACCGTCAATTCGCCATCACAGATCAGAGAATCAAACAGTTCAAAAACAAGAAATGAAATGTTAAAAAACACATAGTCATTGGTCCATAAGGGGCAGATGACCGGTGTCCATAGATGTCGATAAAGTCGGCAAAGAAAAACTGAACCACTAAACCTAAAAACTACCACTAGATTCTGTATGCCCGTCTCCTATGAGCTTTCCCCTTTGTCGACGCCGCTTTTAACGCATTCTTCCAGCTTCTAACGCTTCTCAACTCAATCCTTTTCCGGCTTATTCCTCATTTTTTGTCTGTAAAGATGACCACTGACCCTAAAATCATTCTACAACAACATATGCACGTCTCCTCTCTGCTACATTGCTTCCAACGCTTCTCAACTCAAACTTATTCTGTCATTAAACCAGAAACAGCTTATTCTTCCTTTTTGGCCTTGAGAGATTTTTTTATTTTGATTATTTATTTTGAAAAGAGGGTTGGATGAAGAGGACACTTATTGTATTCCAACCTCCATCACACATGCCATAGTCATATCGTCCAGTAGAATTGAAATACAGTACATGACAGCACCCCAGATGAAGATGACCACTGAACAAAAACTGCACGACTACTATACTATATGCGTTTAAACTCTTTTTCTATCATTGAACCAGAAATGACACTTTGGTCCTGAAAGATGACCACTGATCCGAAAACCTGGACAAACACTATTTTTTTGTCACCTCTGGGCTTTTCTTTTGTTTTTGCCGCTTCTAATGTGTCTCTACATTTCTATGTTCGAGCTGTCTTGTCTTCAAACAACACATTTTAGCCATTATTATTCGCTTTGGTCCTGAAAGTTTACAGAAGACTATCGTATCACAACATATGCACGTCTCTTACGAGCTTTCCCTTTGCCTGCGCTGCTTCTAACCATTCTCTACGCATTCTCTGTTATGTCGTTAAACCACAAATGTTACAGCTTCTTCTTCCTTTTAAGTTTGGAAAAATGACCACTGAACCAAAACCTGTACTACCACTAAATGTGCATGAGCTTTCCTTCGCCTATGCTCAATTTGGCTTTTTGTGTTTAAAAACCGGGAAATGGTCAGTATAGTCTGAAAACATTATCAAATCCACAATCCTCCCTAAAGATTCATGCGGGAAGCTAGCATGAAAAAAACCTCATAAAAACCTTGTGATCATTTTTTTTCTCTTTTTCCCCAATTTTCCGTATTTTTTGCACCGCATTGTCGCAACTTTATCAAAATACAAAATTGCCAAACGTCTATCTTGCCTAAAAATCACTACATTTCATGCTATTGTTATAAATGTGCGCATTTCTGACTGGGATAGCGTTGAATATTGCACTGGTTTAATGACGTTTCTGACTTAGGGGAAGCCCTGACTCAAATTAGGACCATACGTGTTGCCCGTTTGAGTCATTTTTCATCCCACATGGGTAAAGCAACTGGAAATAGACAATAACGTGTTGAAATCTGTCAGAAATGTAATACAATGAGACAAATCTGGAGTCAAACTTGAACAAAATCCTAAATCCAAGTCTTTTTTAACGTCAAGGAATTGTGTTTTTTGTTTCGTAGAGACGTACTTTTGACAGCTTTCTATCATTATGTTTTGTCTGAGAGGTTATGTCCACTGCACCCCTGGACTCTGCTTCCTTTTCACTGACCTGGGTGACTTTCTGACCTGCTGCCTTTGCCTGCTGTTGGCTCATAAACTGTTCCAGATTTCTGCATTCTCTCTGCTTCAGTCTGGGGTCAGGCAGCTTTGGGAAAACTTTCACGCTGGTTTTTCTTTGGTCCTAAACATCGGAGTAAATCTCAGAGGAGTTTCTTCGGCAAAACAGCAGGTAAGAGTCGTCAACCACTGTTTCAAATATTCAATAGGTTTTCAATGTTTGTCCTGGGTTAAGGTATATAGGAAGATTTTCTACTTCCGGGTGGATCATCAAGACTATTGGTCCTCCTGATTGTCAATCATTCTGATGATACGTGCTCGTCAAATAAGACCAGAGTTTGTTCAAAAAGTGGAGACTGAGGTTCTTTCCTGAAATGTGGGGAAATCCTCCCATATACCTTTAATGTGTGTCTGTCTATTCACACAAAAACTCTCACAAAACAATTAAATTTATTTTTGTGTTGTCCAAAATCACAACAGCAGTCGTCTTGAAACGGCGTCACAGAATTGAAACCATTACGAGATATAGATACAACAAAACTTCAAAGTCCATGATCCATCTGGTAAATGTGCAGATGCAGGAAGTCCAAGGACATTTATTAACATTTCTCTTCTTGCATTACCTGTGTTGGAACTTTCTGATTCTCTGATTTGTTGTTGGTGAATCGATAACTTTGACGACTGCTGTGCGATTTAGGGCTAGATTAAACTACATTGAAATTAAATGAAAACATGTGAGGTGTGGGGTTTAAATGCACAACGCAGAGTCTAGAGCGAGGATTGTAAAACAGAAAAGTAATTATTTACATTAGGAAGCTGAAGTTGCCTGAATGATGATTGCATTATTTGCCATTAGTTGCTGAGGTCCTAAGCTTTACAATGATATGGAGGTTGATAGGTTGGTGCTGAGTGGAGGCAGTTACTTATGATTATTTGATAAAAACCACTCAATCTCTGCAGATTACGACGACTCTGGAGAATTCAAAATCAGTCGATAAATCAGTCGTTCCCTAAACATTAAGAGAAGGACATTTTGTTGAGGACTCGGTGTGTCGTTTAAACAGTCTGATATCAAAATCATTTTCAGTCCTGGTTTAGTCCTGGTTTGGTCCTGGTTTAAATCTGGTTTAGTCTTGGTTTAAATCTGGTTTTGTCCTGGTTTGGTTCTAGTTTAAATCTGGTTTAGTCCTGGTTCAGTCTTGGTCCATCAGAAACACTCAAATGAATCTCTGCCTCCTTTTCTCTTCCTTTACAGTTTAAAAAACATTTTCAAGACAATAGAGATTTAGAAAATTCATAATTTCTCTCAGGATAATCCCACAACAGAAAAACTCATTACTGTAATTTATGACCTTTTTAAGTATAAAATCATGAATATTATGAACACTCCAGTAATAATAACAGACATCAACATCACTCAAACTCAGATTTATGGCGTAAGTGAACATTTTGAGTCTGGGGTAACGTTTATTAATCATAAGTAATACATTTCTTTGTCTAACAGAAAAAGAGCCATGTAAAAACTTAAATGTGAATAATTCAGACCACAACATTCTGTCTTTATCTTACTAGAATACTTTTGCATACTTGTAGGAAAGAGCCGTGCGTGTGTCACTGTTTGACTCTTTTAAACAAGCCTAAACCGCAAAAATGTAAAAATGAAGGATTTAATAAAAAGAAATACAAAGAAAATCAAGAGAAAATCACATCAAAGTTTCAAAACAGGGCTCGAGGACAAGAACTAAAAGTGACCTGAGAACGACAGACAGGTCCAGGAGTGAGTGACAGCACAGGGTTCAAACACACTAACGACTAACGAGACACAGGTGAGACACATGGGGGCGGGGCATGTGACCAGGAAACAGGAAGTACAACTAAAGAAGACACAGGGGGTTTACAAATGACAAAATTGGCCTTTCTTTCTGGTTTTTAACGCATCTCATCTAAATAAAAACCTATTTGGCCTCTATTGAAAATTTAAAAGTAAAAGAAATTAATTAAAACAATCACATTGACCTTTTTATATATTAGTTGATTAGCAGACCCCTGTATGTAATGAAGTGTATGTATGTGTATATTTTGTGTTATTTTCATTTGATCAATATTGGTATATTAATTAGCATTTTGTGTACTGTTGAGGAATGTACTTGTTTCCCATTTTCACACTTTAAAAAAAAATAAATAAATAAAATTATAAAAATTAAACAGAAAATAAACCTGAAACTAAATACATGGATTTTATTATGTAGTTACATTGTGGTTTGAAAGTTAGGTAACCATGCTTTAAATTTATATTGTTATAGATATCCCCCCCTTTAACAAATAGTATATGTTACAATGTTATAGTGACTTGCCAAACTCTGATTAGACGGACATAACAGACCACGTTGAGTTTAGTGCAACACAAGTCTCACTTTTGTTCATTGTTAGATTCATTGTTGATATAAAACAGCTGAGGACCAGAACACGGACAGTCCACTTCCTGTTTCACTCAGAAGCAGCAGGTTTTCATTACCTGTTTGTTTACACAACATTTCTGAACCAAACATGTTGAACTCCCGGTCTTAAAGCTGCGGTACCTCCCTTTTTACATAAATAATGCGTTTAGTTTCGTCCCAATAGAAAGAGTCCTGGAAAAAGTTGTGAACAAATCAGAACAATCTTTTTATTTTGTATTTGTAATAAGGAGCCCTGTGAGCCACTATTGGACTCTTTGGGCTGAGAGCTGAAACAAACTGATCCAAAGAGGTGACAGGCGCCAAAAAGACTTCCATGACATGTTATACCTCATTTTTACATTATTACACATTATTATCTTATCATTGCATTTGTGTTGAACTGTTGATGATTTTTTGATGGGTGTTGGCAAATTCAACTGTTTTGTTAAGTCCTCTGAGATAACTACTGTTGTGATTTAGGGCTATACAAGAATAAATTGAATTGAATTGAATTATCATTTATAATTGGATAGAACCAGGGCCAGGCAGATGCTAAAATAGCCTGGCCATAGCCATCCGTACACTCTGCTCGATCATAATTTCACTGCATGTAACGTCTGGGTCTGGTCCCTGTGTTAGCGAATACAATCGGTTGTATTTCGACCGGCTACTCAGAGAGCGCGGAAGGCGGGTGTTGTAGGTCGGTGCCGGTGACGTCAAGAGTTTGCGCCGAACGGGCAGGTTGTAGTTTGGCAAAGAATGCAATAGTAAAGTAATCCGGTCTGGTTCTATCAAGAAATCGAAGCCGGAGCAAGAGGAATGTTTAGCAAATGTAATCGCTGGTCAAAATTGTGGCGCTACGCCCCACGGGCTCCGTTAGCGGCAAAGGAGATGGCTAGGCTAAATGCTAACAACACACTCGGGCGCATTACATACGTCACGGTAAACTCAGATCCAATCGTTTCAATCTGCCAAAAGAGTTAACCCCTCCCAACTGTAAACGGAGCTCAATGGAACACCTCCAGACCTTAGTATGAAATGTAATTTGTACTATGGTGTGGTACAACCAGGCTAGTGCTAAAATAGTAAGTGGTACTGATTAACAAGGCTGGGCCGGTGGAAACACTCTCCATTGGGGGAGAATAGAGTAGAGTCGAGTAGGGCTGGTGGAAACGGGGCTCTAGAACCCTAATGGCTACAAAGTCTGTGTATGAGCTGTCGTCATGCTCTCTTTATAGATTATTTATATTGTATTTTTATGTATTGTTTATTTGGTTAGGACAGTACATGTTGATGAACACACCACTCCGGATTGTAGCGTTGGGCTAATTTGCGTCCGTTGTCCCACATTCGCACTCACAAACACACACCCATTCACCCTGAACTATTGCACATGTTTTTAGTGGTGGGGAAACCGGAGTACCCGGAGGAAACCTACGCAGACACGGAGAGAACATGCAAACTCCCCTCAGAAAGGCCCTGGTCCGACCGGGATTCAAACCCAGAACTGGTTTTGAGTTCTCGGTGCTACCCTATTGGGCGGCTTATATATACTGTATTAAGGTGGCTTTTTTTTTACTCTTGAATGTCTTTTAATCAATTCAGTTTACTTTATTTGTTTATAGTCCTAAATCACAACAGCAGTAGCCTCAGAGTATTTTACAAAGTTGTTGATTCACCAACAACAGATCAGAGAATCCAACAGTTTGAACACAGTAAATACGCCGCAAAAAGTGATCAAAACTAAGTCACTTAATTTGAGCACATTTTTACTGCCTTAAAACAAGATTTGCCAAAGGGTCAAAGCAAACGTATCTTGTTGTTGAAAGATAAAAGAAATGTCTCCCTTGAAATGAGGAAATAAAGCAACAGTTCTTGAAATACGGCTCTTGTCCCGATGTCAAATTAAGATACATTTTGCCAAATTTGAGCAATTTTAAACTTTTTCCTCACTTTTTGCAGTGTACAATAATAACAAACACAGAGAAGCCATTGGTCCATAGGGAGCAGGATGACCATCGTCCGCAACTTTCCTGAATTATCACTGTCCTTAGACCCTCCTGCATTGGCAAAGAAAAAAAGAAAAAAATGTGGGAAAAAGTAAGAAATCTCGGCGAGACCCAGATCTGTTTTTTGAGTTTTTATGTGATGTGGGCCAAAGATTCATTTTTACCTTGATAAACAATTAATACATTCTATTCATTTCTGATAAAACATGAGCTTCAAACAAACCACTAAGAGCCGATGGATGCTTTGGTTCAGAATTACAAAAAAGTTTGGTCCTCTCTTTGATTCTGTTGGATTTTATAACATGAGTCTTTATGTGGTTTGAAAGTCAGGTACCCCAGCTTTAATGGAATAGATAATGTACCTTGTGTAGTGAGGTCCCTTCAACGCATGTTTTCACAATATCCTCTTCAGAAACAGCTTCAGTTTTGGCCTGGAGATCCTGGAAACACGAGTTGTGTTTATAATTACTGTGTGTGGTCTTGGCTTCAAACCGCCGCTGATAGAAACCTACTGATTAAAACATAAACTGCTGTAATTAGAATCAAACACGTGCAGAAAATTACAGATATGAAATATGATAAACAGGGACTTTTTAATTATTGATTTCCCCTCGGAGCACGGAGGATGAAAGTAGAGCCGGATTCTAATACTGTACTGAGATCGTCTGCAAAAAAAAAAAGATCTATGTTTTGGAAATGTGTCAAAAAGTTGTATTTTTGTTCCGTTTTTGACAATAACCTTGAAAGAATTTGCTCAAGAAGGGGTGAAGCGTTTTGTATGGCACTAATATAGATCTAGCTCAGATACTTTTGTAATGGCCTTTAACTGTATTTTGGAATTGAACTATTAATTTGGAATTTTGGCTCAATTTTTTTTGTTTCATGCGAACAAGGAAGGACTCAGAACACAGTAATGCAAAATACATATTTTCTTACTGAAATACTAAAAAATAAACTCAGGAACTGGGAGAAATACACAGAGATGAAGGCATAGACACTGGACCGGCAACACATGGAGATGAGCACAGGTACAGGCAGACACAGAGACACAACAACCACAGGAGAAATGATCAAATAAAGCGTTAAGTAAATCCATGTACCAAACAAAACTTAAAATCCAGGTAAACAGTTCAACAGGAGGCTCAATGTTATTACTATTTATTCATGTTATTATTTCTTCTTAAATGTCTTATAACCAAACACACTTGATATCTGAATAGAACATCTGTGTCGCTCATCTGCTTCCTCCAGTGCCATAGACCAGGGCCTTTCAACAACAGTTTTAAACAACTGATAAAACCATCTATCATTTATTGCCCATTATTTGTTCTTTGCAAAAGTGGAAAGATTTGACCGTTTTCAATGTAAAATGATAGGATTTTATCTATAGATAGTTCAAAATCTATCCTGCGGTTGGGGTAGCACTTTCAAGTCAAAGTTCTTGAATTCAAACTTGTGTTTTGATTCCACCTCCAGACAGGGCCCTTCTGTGTGGAGTTTGCATGTTCTCCCTGTGTCCACATAGGTTTCCTCCTGGTGCACCGGTTTCGACTACCATTAAACGCATGTACAATAGGTTGGATTGAATGTATTGTGTGAGTGATGGTTGGAAGCGCATTTGATCTAATCGCGGACTCATATAAGGCCCATAACATGTAAAATTAGAGTAAATGCTAACCTAGCATTTGCAACAATTCAATATAAATGCACATATAGTGAATTTATGTGAAAAAAAAGGTTGCTGCTGGTCAGAGGGGTCAATGACACATATTGGTTGCCTCACTTCTGTCAGTGTGCCCCAGGGCAGCTGTGGCTACAGTAGTAGTTTATCACCACCGTGTATGGAGTGAATGAATAATTACTTGTGAAGCGTCTTTGAGTGTCAAAAACAGCACTATATAAAACAGATAAATCATTATTATTATTATTATTATTGTAACTGACAACAATCACTTTATGAGGATAATACATAGTTTCACTCGAGGTTGATTTTTGACACTGACAGAGAAGATGCAAGTTTTTTGTGGATGAACCCAGTGATTACAGAGAGAAACCATAAACCAGGACGATACTGTCGACCGTTGAATTCTTCATATAAAGACCTTAAGTAAGAATGGGAATATTTGTGCTCTCCAAATTTGGATAAATTTTTTTTAAATAAAATTAAAAAATATCAGAGTGAAAGAAGATATTAAGTAAATTGACTTGAGACTTTAACTATGTACAACACTGATCCTCATGAAAAACAGACATGGAGATGTTTTAGATGCATCCACTCTCCGCCCCCTTCTGTCTAAAAGCTAAAGCTAAAAACAGTTCAACGTGATTTGTACCACAGTTGTCATTTGTACCTTTTAAAACAAAAGTATTTTCCATAAATGAGTTAGGTAACATAGGGAGAACATACTTTTTGTATCATATTTGGTCTAATGCTAAAATCTGTCATATATGTATTTTTGGTTTCGTTTTAGGGAAACAAGCTATTTTCTAACCGTATGTATTTTTCTGTTTCAGATTTTTCCAAACGTTCTGGACTATTCCCTTTCTGTCTTTTTATCATTTGAACTGGACCAAGTCTGGACTAATCTCCATTTTATTTTTGTGCTTGACTCTAAAAAACCTGGACTTGGGAGTGGACAGTCGAGCTGGTCAGGACAAAACAAAATGGCCGCCTACGCTGAACGTGTTTACAGCTAACATGCTAATAAGCTAAACATGGACTCTGTGGGGAAAAAGAGCCACTAAACACAATGAAACACGTATATACTGTATGTATATAAATAAATATATATTGTTTGTTGACATTTTTGCTTTGGAAAATGGCAAAACTACAGAGGAATTTTACTGGAATCTACATGAAGTCAAAATGTTCAGTCCGGCAGCGGTGGTTTCAAATGTTGTAAACGTTAGCATAAATTTCTGGACGTTAAAACCGTACTGTGTGACATTCTTCTTAGAAATCGGTTCATTTTTGTGTCAAACTGTTTAAGATCTTTTATTTTCAAAGCACATTTCAATCGCATTAGTAACAATAATTAAGAAGAAAATATTAAGCACGCATAACAGACAGATTCTTCTATGAAAAATAGGTAAAATTATCCGGTCAGACTGGATTCTGAATTTTTGCTCAAATTCTTAAGAGCATCACCAAACGTTAAAAAAAAAATCTTCAACCACTAAAATACACACGCCCAAATGATGCGTTTTATGGATGCAAACACGGTTATTGGGGCTGTTAAATTATTGCGGAAAACATCACTTACAGTTTCACTTTGGATTCATTTTGATGTAAGTACCACTGTTACAACACATCTCTGCTTTGTTTTAAGACTTGATGCTAATTGAGTGAATGGCTAACAACTCCAAACAAAACCACTGTTAGCAAAACGTTAGCATAACATTAGCATACCTGAGCTGCCACTTACGGGCCATACGTCACACTCATTGATTTTTCATATATTTTTGGGTCTTAACTAATATCCACAGAGAATGTCCCAGAATATGGCTCCAAGCCTGGTACTGAAAAGTTCCCCACTGTGGCTTCAAATGGAGAAACCACTTTTTACAGAAAGAATGGTTTTTCTGTTGTAGTTGATTGTGTTGTTGCAAATTAAGCAAAAAAAAAGTATTTCTGCTGTAAATATAAATGTATATGTCGGCCATTTTATTAGGTCAAATATCTTGCGATAGATTTTATTTTTCATTTTCAAACTCATCTTGAAACTGAGCTGTTTTTTCCTGTCCTTTGGCTGATGTTAAATGTGTACCTAATAAAGTGGCCTTGCTTTTGTAAATACGCAACATAGAGACTTAGAGAAATATTGTTTTTTGGATTATTGGAACTGTCGGCTCCTGTGGACAATAAACGCTTTTCTGTGCAACATTTGTGTTTATTTTTATTAATATGTTAATAGTCTCTCGTGATTTTATTTATCTCAATACTTGTTTGCACTGCAGTTGATACAAATTTTACTAATGGGGCCCATGGTTCCTGCACCTGAAACACACCAGCACCGGAGCACCCGAAGGGAAGCCACCCAGACACGAGAAGAACAAGCAAACTCCACGCATCCAACCCACTCTCCATGACTGCATGAAATTTAGCGCTACGTTGGTCCCTTCTTTATCCCAGGTGTTGCATACACTGTTAAATACAGCTGCAGTGGACAGGGCGCAGGGCCATGGGCAGACCGCAGTAGTCCTCTGAACGAATCACTGTGGTGCACAGGCCACAAAAGAGTTCTTCTGACTTCACATAAAAGTAATTGTTGTGTTATACCAGTGGTTCTATGATGTCGCATTAGAAGCACTCTTTAAAAAAAGCAAGCAAAATGTCGTTCCAAAGATCTATGAAACAGCGAGGCTGTGAAAGGTGAATGTTTTAGTGACTGCACACAAAATAAAGTTTTTTTTTTTTGATCAGAAAAAACACTGTTTTTATTCTGTGCAGTTTAAAAGTCAGATCTCAAAATTTGTACATCTGGGTAAGTTAGGTGTGATTTGAAGTCGATAAGAAAAAATAGCTGACCGTGAATAATGACCACAGGACCAAGTGGAGAGGGAGAGGAGTTCAGGTCTTGTTCACGAGTGAGGAAAGGATGGAGCAGCGTCTGTAGTCAAAGCTTTCAATTTATCAGCCAGCCTATGTTCCCACCCTCACCAACAGTCATGAGCTTTGGGTAATGACTGAAAGGACAAAATAGCGGCTACAAACGGTCCAAATGGGTTTCCTCCGCATAGTGGCTGAACCCATATTAGAGATATGCAAAGTGCAGTCACATGGGAGGAGCTCGGAGTAGAGCCGCTGCTTCTCCAAGTTGAGAGGAGCTAGATGAGGTGGCATCCTTGAGCTGGAGGAAGTCTGGGCGACTGTTCAGACTGCTGCACGGCAACAGATAAAGTGAAGATAATGGATGAATGTCATTCTGGGCTGAAACTGCTCAAATGAATCAATCCTGCTGTTCGTGATCAGGAAATAGAGTTACAATCTTCTAATTTGCCAAAGAACAACAACGTATTTCACTTCAGAAACTATTTACTCTAAAGTTCACCTGTGATCAAACAGCTGCACTGTAAAATACATATTTCACTTTTTGAATATATTTTCTGAACCAAAGTACATCTGTGACATGTTACTGCCATATGCACCAACTGGGACTCTGAGGAGCACAGGGACTGGCCTCCTGCTGGGACTCTGAGGAGCACAGGGACAGGCCTCCTGCTGGGACTCTGAGGAGCACAGGGACTGGCCTCCTGCTGGGACTCTGAGGAGCACAGGGACTGGCCTCCTGCTGGGACTCTGAGGAGCACAGGGACTGGCCTCCTGCTGGGACTCTGAGGAGCACAGGGACTGGCCTCCTGCTGGGACTCTGAGGAGCACAGGGACTGGCCTCCTGCTGGGACTCTGAGGAGCACAGGGACTGGCCTCCTGCTGGGACTCTGAGGAGCACAGGGACTGGCCTCCTGCTGGGACTCTGAGGAGCACAGGGACTGGCCTCCTGCTGGGACTCTGAGGAGCACAGGGACTGGCCTCCTGCTGGGACTCTGAGGAGGAGGAATATTCAAATCCAGTGTGTACACAGTTCTGTTTAGCTGTGTATTTATTTAGTTTTTTACACACTTTGAGTTGACTTGTGTATGAAGCTACACAGATAAACCTGCCTTGCTTATATTTTTTATTTAAAATACATGTATCTATTTATTTTTCAGAAAACAATATAAAACAGTGAGACATAAAAACAACCATAAACTACAAAGAAAGATGCAGTTTAAAGACTTATTTTCCAGTGGTCATTTCTCAATGCTCACAGAACATGGCAACGATAGATATTGAGCCACAAAATGTAATTGTCAAATATTTCAGCTGAGAAAACCGTGCATGACATATTTTCAACAAATCAGTGACATTTTACCAGACAGAGAATTGTAATTATTAAGATATGAAAAAGCCAATATGAAAAAATTAATGTGGTCACTTTGGCTCCTAAACCTTAACAATATTTACTTTTTGTATTTTACAAACTTTAAATATTCTCTTAAAGCTGGGGTTCACCTCTCTGCCCAATCAGCCCAGTATCACACGGGTCTTTTTAAATATGTTTTCTTGTGAGATGAAGACAGTGTGTTGTGGTCGGATTTTACTTGTACAAGACTGTTTCTGTGGTGGCCAAACATCATGTATTCTTTACGAAACAAAAAGTTAGGTATACCAGCTTTAATATTGGATAAACAAGAGCTTGTCTGTTAATAGTTTTTCCTCTTTGAGTTCAGTGTCAAAGTTAAGCCTTTGATCTTTCAGTGTCTCTCCGCACACAGGGCGTTCTCAGCAGCCGGGTCAATATTTATGGTAAATTCATTTTTCCAAAACAAAAAAATAAATTAAAAACCTGCACAATTATTGCCTTGAACATCAAACACTCACCACAGAAATGACAGATCTATTCTTAAAATGACTTGAATTCAGGTTGTTATTTTTCTGTGCTTTTGTTTGAATACTGTATATATATTTTTTTCTTACAATGTGGACAAGAACATGTAACTGGTTTGAAGACAATTCTGAGGAAGGACTTGAGTGCACTGATGATCCACGGGCTTTTTCCCACTGCGGCCCTGTGTGTTTTGAAACGCAGTGTCGACCTGGGACAACGGTGGAAAAGGGACGGGTGTTGTATGGATCCGTGTACATTTTTCATTAATGTAGAGACAGGAATGTATATAATTTTATACAAAACACATTTCCAACTTTCAAAATAAGTCTTCAAAATGCAGTGCACCCTGGACCAGAGGATCACATTGAAATGGACTACGACAAGTTTATTCTTCGGGGTTTATTCAAGTCAAGATCAAATCATGTTTAGAACTTAATACCTGCTTCATCAATGTTTTTGTTCATTTACTTTATTAACAAACATGAAAATAATTAGAATTCAAGAATAATAATCGTCAAGAAGTTACACACGGCACAAATGTTTAGACCCAACGATCAAAATTCAAGACTTCTTCCAGTCTCTTAAAACTCGCTTCCGTCATCACCGTGTGTGGAGAGAATGAAATAAAATCTGAACTCTGACCAATTGTAAAGCGCTTTGGGTGACCTTGGTCTGTGAAATGCGCTATATAACTAAACATTACTTACTTAAAAGGTATAACTTCCAAATGGTTTCAATGCTTTTAGGATTTGTTTATACTCTGTCGGAACAATGTCTATAAAAGGACGACTTTATAAAGGAAAAAGCAGCACCAACAAAAGGCCAAACGCTGACGGTACAGAGCTTCACTCCCCCAAACACAGCTCCACGGCTCGTTATGTAAAGTATTGTCCCTCGTGTGACTTGAGTGCAGTTTTATAACCATCACCTGAGCCACATATAAGCAACAAGCTACAAAACAGTGTGGCTTTACTGCTGTCTAATACAACGCTATTTTGCACAGTAGGAATAGATAGAGGCAGGGTTGAGAGTCTCTCGGATCAATATCCTGAATTCAAGTCATTTTCATCATTCAAAATCAGCTTTTTTTTTTCTTTTTTTACACAATCCTGGATACATCTGCTTTACTTCCATCACCAAGACACGTTTACCGCTGCACCATCGCAACACAAGAAAGAAATCAAACAAATCGAGTTATAAAAATAATCTTTAGCAGCGTGACGAGGGAGTGCAGTTCAAAGCGGGCGTAAATAAATCCCCATTTTCTCTCCGAGGTTTGGGCTTCTCCTCCTGCCCTGGGTCCAGAGGAGGGTCTTTGAAGTGCGGGCCGTGCCAGTGCGGGAGTCCCACGTGCTTCTGATAAAGACTGAGGCCAAACGCATGTGTTGGACCAGGCCATTGTTCTGTGAAGAAAGACCTGAGCTGGCCCCGGCACAAGTACCCTCCGCGGATCAAGACGGGAACCGGTCTGAACTTGGACCATATCAGGACTGTAACCGGTCTGAACTTTAGAATATGTAGCGGAGTAAAACAGGAATGGACCCGGACTTAAGCAGGTCTAAACAAAGACTAAATAAGGACTAAACCAGGTCGAAAAAGAACTAATCCAGGTCTAAACAATGACTAAACCAGGAGCAAACAAGTACTTAACCAGAACTAAACCAGGTCTAAACCAAGTCTGAACTGGGATTAAACCCTGTTTAAACCAGGACTGAATCGGAACTAAACAAGGTCTTCCCCAGGACTAAATCAGGACTGTAACCGGTCTGAACTTTGGAATATGTAGCAGACTAAACCAGGAATGAACCAGGCCTATACTACGACTGAAGCAAGACTCAAGCAAGTCTAAACAAAGACTAAACAAGAACTAAACCAGGTCTAAAACCAACTAATCCAGGACTGAATCAGGACTAAACAAGGACTTAACAAGAACTAAACCAGGTATAAACCAAGTCTGAATTGGGACTAAACCCTGTTTAAACCAGGACTGAATAAGGACTAAACCAGGTCTGAACCAGGACTAAACCAGGTCTGAACCAGGACTAAATCAAACTAAGATGTCCTGAATTTTTTATTTTTTATTCTTGAGAGACACACGTAAGACTAAAGCTGCTTGTTCCATTGGGAAATCTTGTTTTAAAGGACACATACACTGCACAATTTACTTTTTTTTCTTTAGCTTTTAGCCATGTTATAGCATTGCTCCCTCATCTCCCTTTTTTATTATTTTTTATTATTATTCTATCATCCATGCTAATATCAGGGACCCTTCTGTCTTTGGCCTTTTAAAACAAACTGCCACTGGATTCGTTCTTTACAACCACATGTTTATGTGTGCTGAGAGGCATTTTCAAATTTGAAAATAAAAAAACAATTTCCACTCCTCCCTCTGCTGGAAGCATAGGGAGTTGCAGGCAAAACAATTTAATACACTTCATTGTATTTCCGATTCTAAAACATGAAATGACAAACTATTTAGGCTTATTATCATTATTTATAACATAAAACCTAAAAGAGGGTTAGGATCCCAAAAAAGCAGTTCTCCGGGGGAAACATTTTGCAGGCTGTTGTCCTAAAGCAATGACTTCCCTTTTTGACAGACCTGGATATTTGTAGAGACCTGTTTCTTCGCTGAAATGAATTCATCTCTGAATTTCCTCCCACAGAAAACAAGCAAGGTCAATGCCCTAAAACTAATCCTCATCCTGACTCTAACCTTTTTTATATATTGACCGTGTTTTGAGAAAGAAATGGCAACAAAAAATGGACATGAATCGATTATTTTGCTCTGCCCCAAGACCAAAGAGCAGATTTCTGAGTGTCCTGCTGGAGGATGTTGTGCTGTGGAAGGCTAACCACTCTGCCACCATCGCTGCTTTGTTCCAGCTCCAAGCGCCGCAGCACAAAGGCCTTTTTAATCTGCGTAAATGTCCGCCGCGGTCTGAAACCCCATGTGTTTCGGATTCTTCCAAATGTCGACATGATTCCTGAATGCTTTTAAGATGTTTTTATTCTCTGTGAAGTCATGAAACAGAATAAAGAAAAGAGCCGAGCTGTGCGATGTCAACGCGCCATAACGTTTGGATTATTGTGAGAATTTGAGGAGGAATATTAGGATTTAATGAAGGAACTTTCAAAGCAGAGAAAGACCTGCAAACCGTGCGATGCAAAAACAAAACCTGACCTTGTGGTTCAGGGTTGTGAACTAAGAAGCTTGACCTGGTTAAGTTGAACTAATACATTAACTCATGAATGGGTCTTTCACATTCATTCATTCCTAGCAAGAAGGTCCTGGGTTCAATTCCCGGTCGGAACAGGTCTCTGAGTGGAGTTAGGAGTGGGTTTCCTCCAGGTGCTCCGGTTTCCACTAAAAACCTGTACAATAGGTAACATCCTCCAGGTCTGACCCTGACCGAGCTGAGCATCAACATCTGCAGATGGGCCCCGGGCACTGCACTATGGAGACATTCTCAAACATTATTAATCATGTTTTAGTTAAATAATATCTCAGGAAATATGCTTTCCACCTGTAACTCACTAAGCTACAACCAGAGCTCCCTCTAGTGGAGGACTATTTGCAATTTGGAAATTACGTGTCCGAGCGCTTCTATTGGAATGCAACAATAATAATATTGGTTTATTTCAGCACTTTTCGTGGCTCTTAAAACTACCATCAATCATTCACGCTCACACACACACCAGACTCATACTAGACAATAAAGTGTCATGCCTGAGGACACAACAACAGTTGAACTTCACAACCGCAGATCTCCCATTAGATTACTAGCCAGACCCTGCCCTGCTTAGTTTCATATATGCAGTGGCACAATAATATGATGCTATTACAAGACAGGAGACAGCCGTTAAACAGAAGGGCCGGCGCTAAAAACAACTCCATGTCTGTGGAACAATGTTAAAAGAATTGTTCAACTCCTAAATGACCACAACAGTCATGAATTACAGAGCGAGTTTTCTGGGTTAGTAAGTTTTGAATTTGCCGCGAGGCTTGTTACTTTTAAAAATTGAGGTGAGAGTGAAGTGTTTTAAAAACTCATAGGGGTAAGCCCCGCCCATGCATACCCCCGCAGCCTCCTGATTGGCCAAAATGAATTCAATTATTTTCTGTTCCTTGTCATTGGTTTAACTGTTCTCCTTCAGAAAATCTTACTGGTTGAAGTTTTACCAAGGGGAGGGACTTTTTTTAAATATGTTATTGCTAGAAAATACTTACTGTACATAATAGTACAGTGTCCTATAGTCATAAATGAACAGTCTTTCAAAAATGAACTACAATTTAAGTTGTTGACTTTAAGCCTGGTTTAGTCCTGGTGTAACATTTGTGTTTGTTCTGGTTCTGTCTGGATTTAGAGCTGGTTTGGACCAGTTTTTTCCCCTCACACATCCAAATTCCTCTTCCTACTTATGAGCCTATTTCCTGAGGCCAACACTCCGGAGCGGCGAGGAGGAAGAGGCTCCGGATCTTCAGGGCCGTATCCTTGGATGACATCATCAGAACAGGCCATATCCTTGGCTTGACGCTGCTCAGGTGCACAGAGATGACATCATCAGAGCAGGACGTCTCTGCGGAGGTGAACTCGGACCTTTCAAGGCTTCTGCCGTTCGGTTGGTCCAGAGGCAACAGTCTGCGCTTTGTCAAATAAGTGCATTTGTTCTACCATTAAAAATAAAACCCAAAAAGATCTTTTTCAAAGTTTTGATCCAAGAAAAAATAAGTTTTTTACAGTGTGGGCTCAGAATACAGTGGTCATAAATATCCCTCACATGGACTCTTCTCCTGAGTCTTGCCTCCTATAAAAACAAAAAGAAAACAAAGTCAGTAATCATCTAAATATTTGTGAGTTTCAACAAGAATGTTCCGAGCGAGATTGAAACGAGGGTTATCTGACAAATGGTCTCTTGAATGTAAAGGGATTAGAAAATGATACAAGAGCCTCATTTCCACTGAGCAAAATCACAAAATAAAATGTTTATTTTTCCCCATGTGGATGATAAACTTTCCCTAGTCCAACGTTTTTGATAATATGAAGCTTTACTTTGGTAAAAAAAAAACAGTTCTAGATTCTAATCGTGTTACCTGTCTGAGTGAAGAGGATGCACAGACAGAGCAGCTATGGCCTGGACCGTCTCCGAGTCTAGGTCTCTATGAATTCTGGACCTCTGCCCTTCTGAGTAGGACATGGACAGAGATGAGGACGTGTCCAGGAGACTGCTCCAGTATTCACCTGAGAAACAGAAAGACCCAGGGTTAGGAGAGCCCAAATGAAGAAGACCAGGGTTGCCAGGTGTGTCACCTTTTTTATACAAGGCTCCAATGGAAAAGTATGTTTGGGTGATAGAAATTATGACAAATGTTCTGAGGAATCTCCACTGGCTCTATAGGCCTAAATTAAAGCCCTTCACAGTCTGGTCGCTTCATATATTTCTGATTTTCTTGTGCCTTAGCCTTGGACCTCAAACTTATTACTTTCCCCAGCTATCTCCCATTATGCTCCTTGTAAATGGAACGCACTCAGACCCTGATCTCTTTCCTGATTAAACTAAAGACTCACTTGTTTGGACTTTCTTACCCTCTAACCTCTTTCTTATCTCTCTTTCGCCACACTGTTTGTAAAAATCAATGAGTTGAGGAGATGCAGTATGAAAATGTGCAGTATAAATAAAATAAGTTCTTCTTTTCCACTTTGATCACAGGAGAAACATGTCCAAACGCTGGGACACGCTGGAACTTCTCTTTAGTTCAACATATCACAGAGGCGGTCGGTAAACTATGTTAGCTTTACAGACAAAGAGGAGTGAACTAGAAACAGTGGAAGGGGGTGCCAGAAGAACCGCTACACCTAAATGCATGCCGTAACAAACAAAGTAGCTTTTTTTTCTCAATCAAAGTAATTATTTGGTCAAAATATATAACTGGTCTAAAAGTACATGTGTTCACTTTCTCCCCTGTTATTGTTAAAGAATGAAAAAATCCATTCCAGAGCTAAACTGCGTGTGCAAAGTAAAATTCCGTGAGCAGTTTTAGCGGCTTAATTCTACAACTACAAGTGCAAAGATCAGTTTTCTCCAATGTTCATATATTTCCAGCTTTGAGGTTGAGGCCCCTGACGTTCTTTGTGGTTAGATCCCGGTCTCTTCTTTTCTTCTTTTGCAGCTGTTGGTGCGAGTGGCTCCTGAAGGTGGGAGAATGTAAATGACTCACTTTGCACATGTACGACGCTCTGCAGTGATTGGACGGCATTTGCACACGGCTTCCTCTCCAGGACACAGGACGGCAGCGGCTCCATCTGCAGGTCGGACAGAGAACAGCAGCTCGGATCAATAAGCGAGGTTGAATCATGAATGTAAATGGGTCTTGTTTGACGCTTTTGATGCAATTATGGTTAAAACTGAACTTGTTATTGAAAGTTTGCAGATTTTCTACTTTTGTGTATCTGAAGGTTGAAGCTAACATATTTATTGGCGCCGTGGCAGATGCTGAGTGTGTCTATGTTTTGTCTTCTATAAAGCCATGTGCATGCAGAAAAACTCTGGTTGTGTCTTTTTTACCAACAATAAAACGTCTTAAATAAATGACACAATCCCAGAATCTTTTGTCATTTTTTATCATGTATTGCTAGCTTTAGCCAGTCTTCAGCACCGTGATGGACTACTGCAGCCTCATTGACTAGACCAGCTAAGGTTCCAAAAACTAGCTCAGATTTTCTATCCTCAGCTGACAGGGAACCTACAACATTCACTAAGGGTTTTTTAGTGTATCTTGTCACATGAACTTAACATTTAAATTAGCAATATGTAAAATTTTCATGTCAAGTCATCCTTAAATGGCCCTAATCTGTCAAAAATGTGCTCTTAATAAACAAAATTAATAAAATGTGCTCTTTTTTCAATACTTCTTTAACTGATAACAGTGCTTCACCGAGATATTTGGATTTCAAAATTGGAATTACGACCCCTAAATCTTGTAATTGTTTTCATCTCAATGTCCTGCACCGTTTTGCCAATCAGAAAGTCTGTGATCCGGGTTGCCAGAACTCATCGCGTCCAGCTAATCTCACTGGTAAAGTAACATGTGGCCGCTGGAATAAATAAGGTCTTGTTTTGATTCTCCAATCATGACAAAAAAATGAATAAAACCAGGATTTCTATCTTTGTGAAAAAGATGTTGGTTATAGATTTGTTGATGACAAAACTCTGTATTCAGATATTAGGGTCCTAGTTGGAATCGTCTGCATATCTGGCAACCTGAGTCAGGAAGAGTGCAGTACCAGTTTTGGCCAGATTTTTACATACTGCTCCTTTAAATATAAATCCACACTTTTGTGAAACCAACTTGGCTCGCTCTCGTTCTGCTCTAGCTCTGCTCTGATTCGTCGGAACTCAGGTCTCGCGGAACAAGAACACTACTAGACAAAGGGAGGCCGAGAAATGACCAAAACATTTTCACTTTTGTTAATATTTCAGACTCCATGCGCCAGTGAGTTTGTTCAATATTTGGGAACTCTTTCAATTGTTCAAAGCTCAAAAACTAAAACGCCTCAGAACATTTAAGAGCAGTTCTTTCCCCACCTCGTGCCCCAGCAGAGCGCGGACACAGGCCTCTGCAGAGTCACACAGAGATTGCACCTGATGCCCTCCCTCCAGCACCAGCACCATTCTGCCCCCGGCCACAGACATGAGCTGACGCGTGAGGAAGCCGAAGCCTGAGGAGAGAGCATGGGTTAAAGGAGACGGCTTCTCTATCGTTTCATCTGAATGCCTGGGAGGGGATTGTATTTTGTTCGGCTTTTTGCTTCATCCAATCACTTATTAAACCAAACTATTTTGTTATTTTGGACTATTTTATTCTATTTTTCCGGGAATAATTGTTGGTTCATCTTGTGCATGGTTGGAATAAACTAATACATAAAAAGAACTGACATATAGCATAACAAAACAAATTGTTGAGGCACTGCGATATGTCGTTATTTTATTTAAACGTAAGGATCTTTTATGAGACTTTTGGCGTAATTATGTCAAAACTGTGCTGGTCAAAACAACAGATGCAGAAGTCAGCCATTTTCCTCTTGATGTTGTGGTCTGAAGGTCAAAGTAAACTTATCTACTGGTGCCATGGCAGACGCAGGGAGCTTCTGTAGTTTTGCTTAATGCCACATATCATTTCTCATGCAGTAACCCTTTAAAATCAGTGATACCTAACACCGATTGTATTAATTCTGCTCAAAAGGAGTTGGCTGAAGCAAGAAGCTCATGAGTGCCCCATCCTTAATGCAAAAACTCAAAACACATTTTCACCTCCTCGATTATGGAGTAATGATCAGACATACAGACCTTTACACAACATCCACATCATAGTTATTTCATACTTTCTTTGTAAAAGCCAGAGAATGGTTCTGTCCATTGTCCCTGATGATACTTAAACTATAATTGCAGTGTTTGGTTCTGTACTCACATTTGGCTGAGACCTTATATCCCCCGAGCTCGTCCGGATTCCCCTCTGCGGCGTCGAACCCGGCTGAGACCAGAACCAGGTCTGGACTGAACTCATGTGCGATGGGCATCACCACCGCCCTGCACCGACACAACAGCAGGGAACAGGCTTTCATTCCCACTAATCTTCGGTTTTTGTGTAAAATGTGTCGTTAAAAATGTTTGCAGATCATGTACAAACTTCAACAAATGCACACATGCCACATCTGAGTCCTTTTAAAGCTTAGAACCTCTAGAATTCAGCTTCTAATGAGAGAAGAAGCAATAATAATTCAGGAAACTTCAGCGCCTCCAAAAGCAAAATAAACTGTTAACCAATAGCATCTTTGAGCTAAGTTTAATACAAAAAAAAATCAGCAGAGCAGGGCACAGAACATGGATTGTATCTGTTAAAAAGAAATCCCAACCAGTCGCTCCCAACTTTTAAAACATTATTTCATGTTCAGAAAAAAATCATTATGTGCATCAGTAAACATTATAGAGAGTAATTTAAGGCATTTCCAGGCCTTTGCAGCAGCTCCTTCATTCTGAGGTTTTTAAATCTAGTCCAAAGACACATTTTTACACCTTGGCTTTTAACACCAACTGAGTTTTACTGTTTACATGTATTTGTATGTATTTTAGAACGCAGGGATATTAGGGGCTAGTTCTTGCGGCTGGTGTGAAAACGTCTAATGTGTCGGCCGAATCTAAACCCAGAAATCATTCAGAATCCAATACATCCAAGGCAAAAGTGATTCAATAAACAGCAGTCTCTCCCCTTTTGCCAGTCTGAGTCTTTCCAGAGCGAAATTGAAATCTGTACTGAAATGATTCTTGGTGGTTTAGCGAGGAGGTTGTGGGCTCAACGCTCCTCTCTCTCTCGCTCTCTCTTGAGCGTCTGTGGTCGTGTTGGTGAAATAAAGTGCTGGAACATGATTGGACAGGTGTTTATGATCACGGCGTCCTGGAAGGCGAGAGAGGAAGTGTTTGGATTAGGTTCACGAACGGCTAAATACAGAATATCCGATTTTCTTCAAAAATGAGTCGGCAACTGTCCACATGTGTGTAGGGACCGAAGCCGAGGCCTGTCTCGCATTATAACATCTACAAGGGCCTCAATCGCACTTTCAAAAATCTATTCTTGTTTATGACGGCTGCAGGTCCAACACGGCCCAGCGATAATAAATAGCAAAACAATTGACACAACGGAATGATTAAATGTTCTGATCTCGGTCCAGACGATATTTGAAGGAGCTGCAGAGACTGAAAGAACAAGGTTTGTTTATTGGAACTAAAGAGCAACTATTCTACAGCCTTATTTTCGTTTTTGTTCTTTAAAGCTGGGGCACCTAACTCCCCTTCCTCCCTCCCTCAGAGAATAAATGAATAACAGAAAAACAGAAAAAACAGAAAAGTCTTCAGTGTCAAAACGGCTTGGCCTTTAACTCGCCTTGCGACCTAGTCTTTTTGTTGACACTTTGACCAAATATAGCTGTAATTTTGACCAGTGTTTCCCAACTGGGTGTACCCAGGGATACTATATATTCAAAAAATGAAAATACATATTGTTATAGGTTGGTATGGGCAACTATGGCATGTTAGACATCATCTAAAATCTATTTTTCTCAGGAATTCAACTATACCATATATTCTAAAAATAGAAGTTACCAAATGAATAATAATAATATTTGTTCCACCAGTCTGCAATAATAAGCCATTTTTCTTCTTATTATTTTTATGACAGTTTCAGTCCAACCCAAGCTAACCCAAGGAAATCTAAAAATCATTTGGTCAAAAATACTTAGATAGCATGACATAACAAAATCATAATAGAATGTTCAGGTGTAGAGTGGAGTAAAAAGGAGACCTTGGTTTAACAGAAAAGCTTAAAGTGATTCTGGTTCTGTCACTGCGCTGTGACATAAAGCATTTGCATCTCAGTGAGAAACGAGAAGCAAAACTCCAATTATTATTATTTTTTAAAGCAGAGGGACCTAACTTCAAACCGCAAAATATGGAACTATGTAATAAAATCCATCTCACTAACTTCTGACTTCCTCGCTCTGTCTTCTATCACTACTTTCACATTTCTGTGAGAAAAGTCTAAAAGAAACAACCACCTCCCTCAGCCAATCCGTGACCGTTTTTTTTCTGGTAAAAAAAAACTGATAAAATATAAGGTAACAAATTCTTGCATCAAGTTTTCATCTCAAAACAAGCACGAAAGGCCTTTTTTCTCATTTCAAGTGATTTTGCCTGTCTCTTTAAAAACACATAATTGTTGATTGTCCCATTGGCAAAATACTGACTCCAAGATAATGTAACCAAAATAAACTTCGAGACAAAGAAATCTGATCTGATTATTCACAACACTTTTCCAAAACTTTCCTGCATGTATTTTTGTCCTCACATCTTTGTATCAGCTTTTACAAACAGAGAAGTGAAAAAGAGAGGACCACCCTCACTCAGCCAATCAGCTCTCAGCCCAAAGCGTCACAGTTGCTTTTTTATTGTGCAGCACTTTGGAAACTGTGTGTTTATGAAATGTGCTATAGCAATAATAAAGCGGATTGGATTGAAAAGCCCTGTTTCCACCATACCAGCTCTACTCTACTCTACTCTACAGAACCGCAGCAGGTAATAGAGTAGAGTAGAGTAGAGTAGAGTAGAGTAGAGTAGAGCAGACCAGAGTAGAGCAGAGTAGAGTAGAGTAGAGTAGAGTAGAGTAGAGTAGAGTAGAGTAGAGTAGAGTAGAGTAGAGCAGAGCAGAGCAGACCAGAGTAGAGCAGAGTAGAGTAGAGCAGACCAGAGTACAGCAGACCAGAGTAGAGTAGAGTAGAGTAGAGTAGAGTAGAGTAGAGCAGAGTAGAGCAGACCAGAGTAGAGCAGAGTAGAGTAGAGCAGACCAGAGTACAGCAGACCAGAGTAGAGTAGAGTAGAGTAGAGTAGAGCAGAGTAGAGCAGAGCAGAGTAGAGTAGACCAGAGTACAGCAGACCAGAGCAGAGCAGAGCAGAGCAGAGCAGAGTAGAGTAGAGTAGAGTAGAGTAGAGTAGAGTAGACCAGAGTACAGCAGACCAGAGTAGAGTAGAGTAGAGTAGAGTAGAGCAGAGTAGAGCAGACCAGAGTACAGCAGACCAGAGTAGAGTAGAGTAGAGTAGAGTAGAGTAGAGTAGAGTAGAGTAGAGTAGAGTAGAGTAGAGTAGAGTAGAGTAGAGTAGAGTAGAGTAGAGTAGAGTAGAGTAGAGCAGAGCAGAGTAGAGTAGAGTAGAGTAGAGTAGACCAGAGTAGAGCAGGGCCAAATAGGGCTAGTTTATTTCAAGTAAGCAAAAGATATTATGTTTTCTAATGAGAGTCTTGGTCTGAATTCTTTCACTTTTACAAGAATCAAAAGACAAACAACATCCATTAATGATAAAACACACAAAGTTAGGTCACTCAGCTTTAACGCGGCCACATGCTCTGCCCCGGCTTCCATACCTGCTCTTCTCGCTTTCATTTCTGGTTCTTGCCGCCTGCATTTTTTTGCGTGTTGTGGAGTTTTTTCGGAGTGTTCGGCGCAGTTCAAAGCGCGGATCGGCGTCTGGTTCTCGTTACGCGCTCCTCGCTCTTCTCACGTCACTGACACGAGCATCTGGGAGCCATTCTGTCTAATTACCCTCGCATTCCCCCTCTCCGCGAGATTCCTCCTTTTGCACAGAGCCACGTGGAGGGCACTTTGGACCCCGGTGAAAGTGATGGATGGACTGGCTCGGTGCGTGTGTGTATGTACGGCCACTGCGCTTACACGGGCCGGGATCGAAAATAAATGTAACGGTCCGTATCTCAAAGCGGGACAGGTCTGCGGCAGGTAGTGACCGGGATTCAGCCGGGATCAAGTCCCACAGAGATTTCTTGTTATGTGTTTTTAAAAGCTTCAATGATCTCTTCTTCTTCTTGATTTCTTGGTTTCTTTCTTTCTTTTTTTGTTTTTAAAATGTGGATCTATGTAATAAAATCGCTCTATTTGCTATCACTACTACTTATTTATGTTACATCTTTAGATCAGCTATAAAATAATAATAAAAAAAACCTCACTCAGCATATCATAGACTAGCTGATTTTTTGTTTTTTTCTGGCAAAGTATAAAGGTGTGCATTCTTACATGAAGTAGTCGTCATATTAAAACAAGAACAAGAACTACTTTTTAAGATAAGGACATTTCAGTGTTCGTTTCATTTCGTTTCGTAAGTTACAGAACAGAAATGAAGAGCCCACAACACATGATAAATGAACAATAACTCTATAATAAAATAAAATGAAATAAAATCTCAAACTTCAGCAAAAGTCACTAAATCTACTTGAAGCACGGAACTGAAATCGAGCTCATTGGGGCATCTCTCTCACTTGGTTTTAGGCGCTTTACCATCAAGCTGCATCTGAACCATTTGGTTAAGTTCTATAATTAAAAGAGTAGGCGGTAAAAAAAACAAAAACAAATTATTTTGGTTATTAGTGCTCCTATATCTTTAAAAATCCAAAAAATACTTTCTTCAAGGAGTGAACACTAAAGGGTTAAAGGCAGTCCTGGTCCCAGAGGAGACAATTGTAAATGTGTTTAGCAAAGACCATAAACAATATACAAAGCTAACCCGCTAGCTCAATGAAGCCCAATAGGGAAGTGCTCATGGACAAAGTTTTTCTTCAACTCGCTCTGGCTCCTATTGATTTAAATTGAGAAAGTCCTTCATCTCAGTAACTGTTTGTGTCACACTCATGTTTTATCTATGCCATAAAGTTGACTAATCAGATGTCTTCATTCACAGGGGTCAAAAATGATGGATCTTTTCACATTTAAAATCTTAATATTAAAGCAGCAGTAAGCGATTTTTGGGTGTTAATATACGTCTTAAATATTGATATATTCCAATAGCCATCACTTATATAGAGTGTTTGTACCTAAACACGGATCTCTCAGTCCTTCCAGTCTTCTCCCACGTATTTAATAAAAAAACCTCACATCCTATGCGCTTATCCAATGACGAGAGAGCACGCCTTATAAGGGGTTTCTCCCGTGTGTGCACGCGCACTCTTCAAAACAAACATGGCGGAGAAGGAAAAG